AGCTTCTGCCTTGGGATTTGAACATAAAAAGTAATTTTTAACAATTTGCTTGAATTTCTGGAAAATTAAGGACATTAGATTATCAAGACAATTTGTGATGCATGTCTTAGAATTTGATTCCTGTAAATCATTGTATCCTGTTTTAAACGATTAATCACATTTCATTTCTGTACCCTGTCTTAATAATCCCCTCCTTCCTTTGTGTAAGATCCCTTCCTGATATAAAAGCGGATGCAGACTGAAGCCCACATACATTACTGCTTGCAAGGCCATGGAGGGTCTATCACCGGTTTTGCATCCACTCTAGTCTCCGAGTGTTTCTTTTCTCTCTCGCCTCTCCAGACATCCCACCTAGAGTTAGTTCTGTGTGCAATGTCTGCCCCCGAGCAGTCTGTCTGGCAGCTTGCATCAAACCTGTGTGTCTGTCTTCTTTGTGTCTGTTTTCTCTCTCTCTCTATGATCACCAGACACCCCACCTTCGTGTACTCACCCCCTTGTCGAGGCCAGACCCCGACAGAAATCAGTATTCTTTGGGATGTTCTATAATTTTTTTTCTTTGTATATTAAAATGATGAAAAATAACAGAGACATCATCCATCCATATCATATATCTGTGTGATAAGCCTCTTTTGTATATTTAACATTTGTTGTTTTCAAGTGCCGTCGAGTCAATTCCAACTCATAGTGACATTTTATAGTGTTTCTGAGGAGTGGCTTTGAACTGCCAACCTTGTGGTCCAAACTGACCTTGTGGTCCAGTGCATTATGCTGCAGTGCCACACCAGGACTTAACATAGACTTATAGAGATAATTAACTTCTATATCTATACATGTCTTGGAAGAAATACAGCTAGATTGCTCAGTAGAAGTGAGGATGGTAAGGCTTCATCTCATATACTTTGGACATTATATCAGGATGAACCAGTCCCTGAAGAAGGCCATCCTGCTGGAAATATAGGGGATCAGAGAACAAGAGGAAGACCTTGAACTGCTGGACTGACACAGTGGCTGCTACCTGGGCTCACAGACCTAGCAGTGAGGATGGTGCAGAACGGGCCAGTATCTGGTTCTATTGTACATAGGGTCGCTATGAGTTAGCACCCACTCAATAACATCTAACAATAACAAGTATTGTTTTTGTGTGTATGTGTGTGTGCATGTCTGAAAATGAATATATATAGAGAGGAGCCCTAAATTAAGGAATTCTCTGTGCTGGAGGAGCCCCTCTGTGGTACAAACATTTAAGCACTCAGTTGCTAACCCAAAATGCAGCAGCTTGAGTTCACTCAGAGGCAGTTCAGAAGAAAGGTCTGATAGTCTACTTCTGAGAATTCCAGCTCCTGAAACCGCTCTGAAGCACAGTTCTCTTCTGACACACATGAGGTCTCCAGGAGTTGGAAATTACTCTGTGGTAACTGGTTTGTTTGTTGTTTTCTGTTTGATTTTTTGTTTTTGTTTTTTAAT